TCGTTCGATGAGGCACAAAAAGATCGATACCCTCTGGCGGCTCCACGTCTTTTGGCGTACTTCTCTCCTCAGAGTGCACAGCCGTACTTCCAAAGCATAACAACAGCACGCAGAGAAGAAGCACCGAAAAATAAAACAGGTGCCGGGACATGTTAAGCATGTGCCACTGCTCACTCATTATCTTCCTTCCCTCCTTGTGCTGGATCAGCTCAGGCCTCGACGATTGTGTGTGTGTGTGTGTGTGTTGCTGGTGGTGACTGCAGAGTCTTTCAATGTGCACAACAACAAGTAGCGTTTGGTCTCTTTCCTTCCGAACGCGTTGAGAGGAAAAAAATAAGGTGAAACCAAAATAAAATAAAACGATGGGCACTGCCCGCGCTCACAGTTGGGCACCCTGCAAAGAAGAGCGAGAACCCATAACGAAGGCCGCACCGACAAACGTGTGGGCCGCACGATCACACACTCGCCGCCGACCGAAGAAACACCCACACGCACCCGCACGGAGAGTCCGCAGTGTGGGACGCCTCCCGCATAAATCAAACAAAAAAAACAAATTCATAAGCACCTCACTTACCGTCTCCCCCGCCCAGCCCCTTCAAACCCCGCCAGCAGCAACATGCAGTGCGCATGCCGGCGAGACCTCCCATCACGGCCCCCACAAAATCCCCAACGCCGCCCACTTCCCTCAGTGCACTGCAGCAGGAGTAGGGCGTAATATTAAAAAAAAAAAAACATCAAATAAATAAAAACAATACAAAATAAACCCTGCGGAATAAGAGCGGCAGCCCCCTTTCCTGCTGCCTCGTTCCGCTTGCAAGGGAGGGCGACGCCAGCGCAGCCGTGGCCTCAGACTGCCTTGTCAGTGCGTGCAACCCGAACAAGACGGAACAGGCACATGCGCCCAGGACGGCAACCCAACAAAAGAGAGGCGTCAACGGCGTTTGCTCGAGGCTCTCAGCGGCGCATGCGGCACCACCAATTGGAGCCGCACGCCAACCAAAAACGATGGCACCCAAAAAAACAAAAGAGAAAAACACCACGCCAAGACGCAAAAACAATCACAATAATTCGGTTTGTCCCCGCCTTCTGGGCTGTGGTGGCCGCCGCATTTGCTTTCCCGCCTGTGAGCCCACTCAGCATGCAAAACTTACCCTCTCGCCCAAACTCTCTGCAGCAACAAACTGGGAACAGCGAGGAGATATCACCAATGGAATACTGCCGGCGTACACCCACAAGGCGCCATCATTCCCCACGCAATTTTTCTCGCAACCACAACACAAACAAAACAAAAAAAAAGGTGCTGCTGTGGTAGCGCTGGCCATAATAATCATTTGGCGCACGGCAGAGCGAGTCCCTAAGTGCGCCTCCTACCCACACACAAACACACTCGGCAATATATCATACTCCCTAAAATATTTCACCAGTAACCTCAAGCTGTTTATTCCCCTCCTCCTTTTCCTTCTCCCTCTGGGTGTCGCCCACGTTGGGTTCGTCGTTTATGTATAAAATTCTCAGCTGATACCGCTACCTGGTACTGACGCACCTGCTGATTCCAAAATGCCGCAATGGCCTGAGGGTCCTCACGCTCATTGCTGCCCGTTACATTTGCGTGCGCGACGACAACACACCCCTGCCACGCTTTTATTGCCGTACTGTCCTCATGTTGCACGTAAATAATCTCCCACGACAAGCCTTCCGCAAACGTTTCCCAGTCATTAAAATAACTCCGTGGAAGATCGTTGAACTGCCTCACCGTGCTGGTTTTGGTGTCATGCTCAGCCCCCGTCGTCACCTGCACCGCAACCATCGTCCTCCGCGGTGCGCCAACAAAGAAAAAGCCGTCCACAAGCGGGAAAGTTCTGCTCTCCGGTATGTATAGCACCTTGTATTGTACATCCAACATCGGAGGAGTGTGGCCCAGCGCTATTAATGCAACGGGTCTGCTTGGATATTTTTCGGGGTTCGATTGCAGCACACATCTTTGTCGCCGACGACGTCCTGGTGGAGGCAACTCGCTGAGGCCCGGCATTGTATTTTTCACAAAGACTCTACTCAGGAATGCGTGCAGAGTATGCCGCCCCAAAAGTTCCGGCAACAACACTCTCCGGTACTTCAATAGTCGAAAAATAATGTCATTCTCCTCATCCACTTCGAGCAACTTTGCAATTAATTCGCTTTCAATGGAAAAATAGACCGGCATGTTAACAAACCCCTCAACATCACCTTGTGTTATTGATCGGACAACTTTCACAAGTTTGTGAGAAGCGTCATTCGAGGGCCACATTCCCATACCTCCAATCATCCCATAATGTACAGCATCTGAGGCGTCGGTACCTGCCAGGATGTTATTGGCATCACGCACGCGCTTTCTATATTTATTATCGTGAAAGATGCATCGTGGAATCGGTCCGACGTCATGCATGTGCATGTGCATCCTTCTCCAATACTCCGCCTGCTCCTCTTCAGTCGTATTGCGTGTCCCCCACGCACACATCGCCTTCACGTCGTTTTCATCGGGGCAATTCATGATGATTTCGATAGCACCCTCCTGATTCGCCCATGCTTGGAAGTTCTTTTCGTTCGGGGACGACAACATAATGATGCCCCACTCATCAGAGGGCACAACATGAGTCGATGGTTCTTGAAGTTGTCTTGCCATATCGATGATAATATACCCCTTCATTCCAGTCCTAGCCAAATTTACCATAACATCGTCAATATTACTCTCACCCTCGTATTCTGTCACCGTTCGTGTCCTCCTGTCAAACAAGTATGCGAAACCCCTTCCAAAGCAGTACACAACCACATGGAGCTTCGTGGCATCGTAGTGCAGCAGCTGATAAAGGAGGTAGGAGCCAGCCGCCATTGACTTCCCTACGCCGGGGGTTCCAACCAAAAGACGGCGTCTCATGCATGGTGGGCCTCTCTCTGGAGGGGGAAACACTCCTTTTAGATCACCCTCGACAATCTTCCACACCCGATGCACCTCAATGTTAATGTAGCAGTCGGTAATAGGCACTGAATGGTTCAACGAGTACAGTCATCGCTTTTCAGAGGAAAGGATCATGAGTCGTGGGCGTGGTGGACGGAATTGCTCCTCACCACCCACTGGGAGAAAAGTACACACAGTCTGCGTGTACTCCCATAATAACTCTTGTGGCCGTTAGCCCTCTATCACCACCATGTCTTCCCCTTCGCCCTCAGGAAATCCCATGACGTGACTCCACGTTGCGTTAAACACGGACTCGTAGAATCCCTCCAGCCTCGGTCGTCTGGGAGGTTTTTCGTTTCCCCACCTTTCCTTCTCTGCATCCTCCGCCTGCTGAAGAGCTGCCTTCAGTTTTGTCTGTGCAATAGCAGAGACAATACTCTTATCTTTAAGGTCCTTCCAGTCTCGGAGCGTGGCCACCATGCGCTCCGTAAGCTTGCGTACATCTTCACGAAGCTTGCGTGCATCTTCACGAAGTCTGCGTGCACCTTCCATTTCTTCCCTTATGGCTGTGTAAGACGGCGATGCCAGTATTAAGCCCAAAACATTTTCATCTTCGATGAATGCCCGGGGCTGCTGCACAAACACCTCCATCCACACATTTTGGTCTTCACCCACCGCTCTGCTGGGGCCAATGTACTGCCGAAGGAAGTCGTTCAGCAAAATTCCGTTGCTTTGACCAACCCGTACATTAAGGACATCCTCGATAGAGCTCGATAACGTCCACCTTGGCCGCTGCGGCGCTCCTTCCACCCTTCGGCGCTGTGCGGGGGTCTCCTCGGTGGGGTGAGATTCTTCCCTATATCCATCCGACATGTTTTCCTTGAACTTGTTGTCCTTTTGTAGTGATTGTTGGCTTAAGTTGTAAAGCAATACTAACGACTAGCCAAAAAAGGGAGAATGAAAAAAAAGCCAAAAACATGCACAAACACGACCCTACGCAGCCACAACAAAAAAAAA